ATGTTTATTTTCGTTTTGCTGTAAATATATATAATTTTTTTATATTCTGTATAATATTTTATGTTTATTGATTGCAAGACTTTTAATAAAGAAAAATTGGGAAGAATGTCCCTTACATTGGGGGTCAGTGGGAAGAATGTCCCTTACATTGGGGGTCAGTGGGAAGAAATGTCCCTTACATTGGGGGTCAGTGGGAAGAATGCCCCTTACATTGGTTGTCAGTGGGAAGAATGTCCCTTACATTGGGGGTCAGTGGGAAGAATGTCCCTTACATTGGGGGTCAGTGGGAAGAATGTCCCTTACAATGGGGGTCAGTGGGAAGAATGTCCCTTACATTGGTGTCAGTGGAAAGAATGCTCCTTACATTGGGGGTCAGTGGGAAGAATGTCCCTTACATTGGTGGTCAGTGGGAGAAGGAGGAGGACACACTGAAGGAGCTCTCCCTGAGAACCAGCGTTTTCAAGCCTGGGCCTTGCCTGCTAGCTTGGCCCAGGAACCATGCCTGATCCAGGGGGAGGCCCTGGGAGGGATTCCCCTGATGAGACCGGGCCTAGCGAAGAGGAGGAGGTGGAGGACCTGACTGTGGGTCCCGGCCCTGGTGAGGATGTTGATGTCTTCAGGCAGAAGATTAATGATAGAATTGTGACTATTGGAAGAGCTGAGGAGAAACTCAATGTTTTAAAATCTGAACACAAATCCTTCAGAGCCAAATACTGCCAGGCCTGGAGCAAGAACAGATTGGGTATGAAGCAAGCGCTCCAGCACATGGAGGAGAAAGTAAAGAGACAATCTTTATTATTAGAAAAGCTGAAAACAAGAAGTGGAGCATTTAAAGAAAAATTTGAAAATGAGAGGAGATTTTCCAGCCAGACACCAGCGAGCTCTGTGGATCAGCAGCCTCAGGTAATGGATGACCCAGTTCCATCTACATCAGCGTCTCTCCCCCCATGTCAGGCTGTGGAATCACCAGTGGCAACCAGCCAGGGGGTTGAGGGTGGTATGGAACCCTGAGGTTCATTCAGCACATGGAGTCTCCCCTGAGAGCAGACAAGTTTGCCTTCACTGATGACCCTGCAGAAGTCCCTGAGGATGGACAGAGAAGATACAGACTGGCAAAGCCAAGACTGGTGGAGAGATCCCAGTACACCAACATGGCTGCCTCCAGCATGTCTGCCCCACCTGCTGTGGTGACTACTGTGGATGAGGAGCTCTGCAAGCAGACTGCTGTGGAGGAATCCTCAGCCAACCTGGAGGAAAAATCCCTGGCAGAGAGGTCCCCAGACCATCAGGGGAATGTGGGTGAACCTGCACCAAGCACCCCACGGATGGAAATTGCTGCTGCTGTTCCTGCTGAGACCAGTAGTCCCTCTACAGGCAAGATGGCTGCCACCTGCAGAGAGACTGTTTCACCTGAGCTCCCAGGTGCTCCAGACCTGATTGATGCTGGTGGGGGAGGGGAGCAGCACACTGCACAACATGGAGAGCAAACAGCACACATGGATGTCTCACTTGTTGCTGAGTCTGAACATCGAATCCAGTCCTGGGCTGAGTCTCCTTTCTTGGAAGAAGAGATGACTGCTGGAGCTTCTATGGTTGCAGCAGTAAGTGCGGACATTGCTGTGAAGTCTATGACTGTTGAGACTGGTAAAGCAAAGGATTTGGTGGGTGGAGGTGAAGGGGTTAACATTGCTGATAAGACTAAAAATGACATTTCTCCCCCTGCTCAGCAGAGAGAGGATACACCATCCAATCCCGGATCTGTGCAATCGGTATCTGCTAGAGTTGCACCAGACGCTCCCAGACACACAAATATTTCTGCTGCTGGGAGGATTGGGGGGAGCTATGCTTCTGTTTTGGGGAGTCGCACCAAGGGGGGTGGGGGTAGTGTTGGGAATGCTAATGGTCACAATTTGGGGAGGTTTGGTGGTGGGATGGTTGGTGGGGTCAGGAGAAGGAATGTGGTGCAGTTGAAGTGGGAGGGGGGAAGGAAACCCACCAGTAAGGGGGAGGGTGGCGGAGTTGATTCTGGAGATGGGGTTTAAAGCCTGTGATGTGTTTGCATTGATCTGCCCAGTCGGCAGCTATGAATACGATTTGTCATTTGTAAAACCTGAAGGCCTGGACCTGTTTTGGGAGAGATATAGGAGGTGCAGGAGCCTTCAGCAGTGGAAAGGTTTGGTGGCAAAGGTTGTTTCCAGACAGCCTTTGATAAAATCAGTGACAATCCTGGTCCGGAATGAATCCATACCAGAGGTTGATCTGGTAGTTTGGCTACGCCGACATGGTGAGGTCCTCACACCACTATGGAAGGTCCTGGATGAGCATAGGATATGGACAGGGGCCTGGACGGTGTCAGTGCAATTGAGGGTGCTGGGCAATGTGGTTCAGCATCTTCCCTGCTCAGCCTTTCTGGGGAAGGATAGGCTGACCATTTTCTATCAAGGTCAGCCTAAAGTTTGTAACAAATGCGGAGAGAGAGGCCATTTTGCATCGTCCTGCACCATCAAGAAGTGCTCACTGTGCCAGGATTTTGGCCATTTGGCCAAAGAATGCACCGAGATTCGGTGTAATTTGTGCCAGCAGCTGGGTCATCCATACAGTCTGTGCCCAGAGGCACTACACAACCTGCCAGGACTGGAGGCTGAGCTGCAGAGGCTGGATAAAGAGGATGAGGCAGCTGATGCTAGGGAGGAAACTGTAGTTGCCCCTCCTGTGTCTGTTCCGTCTGTTGTGTCAGATTGTGTTTCCCCCAGTAATGTCACCCCTGAGTCTGTCCCTCCTGTCCCTAATCCTACAGTACGTAGATCCTCCAGACTGGCGGAAGCTGCTGGGGGGGCGGGGGTTAGCGGATCTTCCCTCTCGGCCTACTCCACCTCCGGTACTTGTCCCCCGTCAGCGCAAACGTGGTCAGGAGGTTGTGGGTGGGGGTGCCGGATGGGGGTGGAGCCGATGGGGCTCAGGGAGGGGTATCCATGTCCCATGTCTCACCTCCTGCTGGGGGGGATTCGGCTGATGAAGGGTGGGAGAGGGTGAAGGAGAAGAGGAAGAAGAAGAAGAAGAGGAGGATGAGAAGAGCTGTCCTCTCTTCCTCAGAATCAGATCCAGGAGGGGTCCCTCTTGGCAATACTTTTTCAGTTTTGTCAGGTGATGAGATGGTATCTGATATATCCATTTCTCTATCATCTATGGATGAGGGGGAGTCACGTACTCTGAAGAGAGCTGTTTTGGGTGATGAGAGTGTGGTAGAGGTTAAGAAACGACTACCCCAATCATCCTGATGGCAGTTCCCACTCTGTTAAAGGTGGCAACCATTAATGTCTCCAGCATTAAATCTGCAAGAGCTCGTGATACGGCCTTATTTTTGCTCAGCGAGTTTGATGCTGAGATTTTATTTTTGCAAGAGCCTGGCTCAATACATTGGCCGATATCTATCTAGCAAAAAGGGAGTGGAGATGTGGTCCCTCCTTTTGGTCTCTTGCGGCTGAACCTTGCAGCGGAGTTGCGGTCCCTTTTAAAACCGATATGGTAACGTGCCGGCGGGTAATTGAGGTAGAAATGGGGAGATGCATTGTCTTAGACGTCTCTGTTAGGGGGCAGGACCTGCGCCTGATCAATATCTATGGACCCCAGTCAAAATGGGGCAGGAAATGCCTCCTCACAAAGATCAAGCCCTTCCTTTTTACATCCCAGCAGGTTGTCTTTGGAGGTGACTTTAACACCATAATTAGGCCTGAAGACAGGAGAGGCTCCATAGACAGGCTGGGTTATGATGGCCTTTTTCTCAGAGATTTTGTTAGACAGGCAGGCCTGGTAGATGTGCACATTAAGCACTGCCCTGGCAGCACGGGGTTCACATTTCAGAGAGGGAATAGTCAGAGCAGGATAGACAGGTTTTTTTTAAAGGAGAACTCTGCTTTCTCAGCTCCTGAGTTGAAGGCGGTGGAGTTCTCTGACCACTGTATGCTGTCTGTGACTCTGAATGCCTCGGACACTCCACCCAGGGGAAGGGGTGTCTGGAAACTGAATTCGGCTCTCCTGGAAGATGTAGAGGTAAGACAATCCTTTGAGGATTTTTTTCAGGCACAGGTTTCTATTCTGGACTTTTGCAGCAGTAAGTCAGAGTGGTGGGAGCTTGTGAAACAAAGGGCGATTGGACTTTTCAAGGCCATAAGTAAGAAGAAGCAGCTTGGTATGTATATTGCCTACCAGCATTTGCGGAGGAAGCTTGATCGTATTGTCTCGTATGGAGGAGATCCAGGGATGATCTCTGAAGTGATGCTTCTTCTTAGGAAGTGTCAATACGACCGGCATGCCTCCTTGGTTCTGGAGAGGGATTATGGGAAATATCACTCGCCTGATCCTTACCAGAACTGTAAGCAAGGCATAGCAGTTAAGACGGTCATTGGCCTGAAAGACAGTACGGGTTCCCTGATAAAGTCCAGATCGGGGATCTTGGAGATCTTTGGGTCGTATTATGCAGACCTCCTGGGAAGAAAGGACCTTAGCCGGGACAGGATGGAAAGCTTTCTGGATTCTACTCCAGGATTGGGAAATGGTACATTGCTTTTGATGAATTTGACAGAACCAATTTCAGCGGATGAGGTAGTTCATGCTATAGACAAGCTGGCTACCAAAAAATCGCCTGGGCCAGATGGATTGACAGCTGAATTTTACAAGTGTTTTTTAAGTCCATTCTGGCTCCCTTTTTAGCGGAGGTTTTTAACAGCTGTCTAGAAGAGGGTTCGCTCCCTCCCTCCATGAGGCAATCCGCTGTGATTCTTCTGTCAAAAGGTAAAGACCCCTCAATGATTGAGAACTGGTGCCCCATCAGTCTTCTCAATGTTGATAGAAAGATCTTGGCAAAGATTCTTTTTTGGCGCTTGTCGTCAGTAGCAGGCGATTTGTTGTCCAGCCATCAGCACTGTTCGGTCCAAGGTAGAAGTACCTTTTCAGCGGTTTTTGGCTATCCGGGAGGCTTTGGAACGATGCAGGGCTGCTGGATGGAGAAAGTACTTGCTGGCATTGGATCAGGCAAAAGCTTTGATCGAGTGAATAATGAATATCTGTGGTTGCTGCTTGGTAGATACGGCCTGCAGGGGAGGTTTATAGATTGGCTGAAGACATTATATAAAGGGGCTGAGAGCTTCCCACTTGTTAATGGTTGGGTTGGGCGGCCTTTTGAGGTCGGTTCTGGTGTGCGCCAGGGATGTCCTTTGAGCCCCCTGCTATATGCTTTCGCAATCGACCCCTTTGTAAGAAGGCTAGAGGGCGCATCGTTGTGCGGGGTGCCTCTGGGCATTGCTGGTGTGCCACCTTTGAAGGTCGTTGCCTATGCTGATGATGTGTCTGTTATTATCTCTGGGACTGAGGAGGCGCAGGAGGTGGTGGTCTCTGTGATAGAGCAGTACACAGAGGCTTCTGGCTCTAAAGTCAACCATGAAAAGAGTGAAGTTTTCTGGATGGGTTAGGAGGGTGAAAGCTTCGAACTTCCGGATGCCTTCCCAGAGCCCCAGCAGGAAATTAAAATTTTGGGCATCAAATTTGGTCCTGGTGACTATGGTCATCGAAACTGGGAAAGCAGGTTGGTAGTTGCCAATGCCAAAGTAGCAAGCTGGAAGAGATGGAGGCTTTCCTTGAGAGAGAGGGTTGACTTGATCAAAACTTACCTGATCCCGATCCTTTTATATGTCAGCTTCGTCTGTATCTTGCCGGTATCTCTCTATGCAAGGGTCTACAGCTGTTTTTTCCAACTGTTATGGAGAAATAGGCTGAACCTGATCAAATGCAATGTAACTTACCTGTCCAGGCGGGCGGGTGGCCTAGGAATGTTTTTTTTTTTTTTTTTTTTTTATTTTTTTTGTCAACCCGATAGTTTTCTTTTCTTTGCTCTTTTTTAAAGTACAATCTTAGTAATATGTTAGCAGAGACCCCGCCGGGATGGGTGGGTATTTTTCAGTCTTGGTTTAGGCCTTTTCTGCATTGCTGGGAAGATGAAAAGTCTGAGAGTCCGACATGGCAAGCTCCCGGCTTATGTTGCCCCGTGTCTGAAAATACTTCGGCAGTGGCAGGTGACAGTGGAGGATATCAGGTCCCTTCCCAGGAAGCTTCTGGGGGAGAGGATTTTGTCTTCTGCTTTCAGTGTGTCACTGGCCTTAAAGGATTGCCCAGGCTCCGTAATGAGGGAGGGATTGTGTTTAATTAACTTGGAGAGAATCCCTTTGAAGTTTAGGGATCAAGCCTGGCTCGCTTTCCATGGAAGGCTCTATGTGAGAGGGAACCTGAAGCACCGCCCTGTGGATGATCGGGATTGTCCTAGAGCAGAGTGTGTTGGTAAGGTGGAGTCTATGGACCACTTTCTGCTCCTGTGTCCCTTTAACATAGAGGTGTATAAAAGGGTGGGGAGGGTTCTGGGCATCCCCTTTCTCTATCGCATGAGTTATGCAGAGTGGGTGTACGGGGCATTCCCAGCTCGCTGGGACTTTGATTTGGATACACTTTTTCTAGTTAGTATAGTTGTTCGTTACTTCACATGGAACGCACGGTGTCAGAGTACCCTGAGGAAGAAAGTCCTCCCTGTAGAGGTGGTGGTGCACGATATTCTGAGTGAGGTTGGGAAGATTTGGGGTCTTGAGAGGGTCAGAGAGCCTCGGGCGGTCTGGATAAGGGCGTGGAGGAATATCAGACCTGCCTTTGGTGAACTGTCCATCTCTGGGTAAGGGGGTCTTTCCTTATACTGTTCTTTTCACTCCCGTAGTTTTTGTTGATTGAGATCTTTTTTGAAGAAGGGCTGCATGCATAAGGGGGGCGGGGTGGTCTCTTGACCTCACAGGTTTGATGTCTGGTGTAGTGATGTGAGTGGTAGTACGATTTATTTCCCCAAATATGTCATGTTCATTTCTGAGACGTTTGCTTTTGTCTGACAGCAGATTTTGCTATATTTATTTTCGTTTTGCTGTAAATATATATAATTTTTTTATATTCTGTATAATATTTTTTTTTTTTTTTTTTTTTCCAAAAAAAACGTTTATTGAAAAAGTGCATAATAATACAAAAGAAAAGCAAATGATGGTCATATACAACATTTGGCAGTGCATGTCAAGAGAAAGTAGGAATATTCTTACAAAGAACCACATAAGGAGCACGGATGTGCCAATCCACGACGGGGTAAGTCTGTAATACTCAGGCAGTCTAGTAGTGCGCATGGGAATGTTATCGCATCGGACCTTCTTAGTATGTAATTATGATTATAGCGCCGCAGAAGGAGGCAGGGTAGATGCAGCACAACCGTTGAGGATGAAGCTAGTGTTTTACTGGAGTGATGGTACCTGTAAGTAAGCTTAGATTGTCGTGAGGGTCGCTAATGTAAGCAAGGTAAATATGACAATGGCATGCCTAATGTTCTCTAAAGAAGAACCCAGTGGTTAACTGGGCGAGTAACAAGAAGGTAAGAAGAAAAAAAAGGAGAACAAGAAAAGATAGAAGATAAAAAAAAAAAAAAAAAAAAAAAAAAAAAAAAAAAAAACCAACAAAAAAAAAAAAAAACAAAACGGGGGGGGGGGGGGGGGGAAAGGGGGGGGGAGCTGGGTTTGTATTGTCGTCAACACCAAGGGTCTTTTATGGGTGGATTTGAGCAAAAGTCTATTAACCGGGGCCGGTAGGTGGAGATGGAGCCCTGAAAGTGGGGAAGTCGCCTACCGTATGATCTAGAGTGTGGAGTAACATACAATGGAGATTAGTAATCAATCAGGCGTGTTGGTTGGACGGTTCATAAAGGACCGGTACGTAGAAGTAGTTTTAAAGTGATTCCAGCAGGCCCAAACATGGAGAATTTAGTGGGGGAATCGAGTGCGGTCGCAATCAGTTCTTCCATTTCCGCAATTTTACCCACACGGATCAGCCAATCGCGTATGGAGGGAGGGTGGGTGGAGCCCCAAAGAGTGGGAAGACAGAGTCTGGCTGCGTTGACCATATGCATTGCTAAAGATTTGAGGTATTGTCCCCTGGGCAGAGAGGAGTGATGGAGAAGAAACTGCTCTGGAGAGAAAGCTAGGGACAAGGTGGTCACAGACACTACAAGCCGGTGGACCTCCTGCCAAAATGGTTGGATATTGGGACAAGACCACCAAATGTGGAGAAAGGATCCATCCGAGGTTCCACATCTCCAACAGCTGTTGGGGACGGAAGGATTAAAACGAGAGATTCTCGACGGAGTTCGGTACCATCTCGAAGCAATTTTATATCCATTTTCCTGCGTCGAGACATTGAGGGAGCATTTATGAGTATGCATAAATATTAGGTCCCAATCGGCGTCCAGAAAGCTGTTTCCCAAGTCTCTGTTCCAAGCACGGCAGGAGGGTAAAGAGTTATAATCCCTACTCTCAACAAGGAGAGGGTAAATCGCCGAAATCAAATGTTTGCGCGGTTCAGCTCTAGAGCATAGGGATTCAAAAGGAGTGAGGGGACGAGTCCAGTTATGGAACAGTTTGTGTGAGAGCAGGAAGTGTCTTATCTGCAGAAAGGCCCAAAAAGGAAAATCTCGACTATCTATGCTATCAAGCAGTTCGCGGAACGATATTACTTTTCCACCGCGGATAAAGTGTTTTAACCAAGATCTGGTCATGTGGCCAATGCTCAGATAGGAATGACTTGTGCATGCCTGGGGGGAAGTCAGGATTGAGACGAATGGAGGTTAAGGAATTCGGTGACTCAGAGATAGATACCGTTTTACAGTTCAGGCGGAGAATATTTAAGCTGGGCCCCACTAAAGGGTGGGTGAGGAGCTCTTGAGGTGTATGCTTTGGCAGTAACCATGGAATCGATGTCAGGGGTGAGGGTGAGAAGGCATTTTCTAGGCAGACCCAGTCTTTAGAGGTAGAATGAACATGCCAGTCCACTATGCGTGTAAGGTGGCATGCCCAGTAGTACCGGTGAAGGTCAGGGAGCCCAATTCCACCTCTAAGTTTGGGGAGAGTCAGTTGAGAAAAAGCAATACGTGGACGCTTATGATTCCACAGGAATTGTGTGCAGAATTTTTTACAAGATGTAAAAAAAGCAGCAGGTATGTGGATTGGCAGCGTTTGAAAAAGATAGAGAAGGCGTGGGAGTATGTTCATTTTGATTATAGCTGCCCTTCCAAACCAAGAGAAACAAGGACGATGCCATTTGTGGAGGTCCTCTTGGAGAGAACGTAGAGCGGGAAGGAAGTTTTTTGCATAGAGGTCATCGAGGTTGCGGGTAAGTCGGACGCCGAGATATGGAAGGGAATCCTTTTCCCAACGAAACGGGAAAGGAGCTTCACAGAAAGAGACGAGTTCTGGAGGCAGGGATATGTTAAGGGCAAAAGATTTGGAGAAGTTGATTTTAGTATAATATTTTATGTTTATTGATTGCGAGACTTTTAATAAAGAAAAATTGGGAAGAATGCTCCTTACATTGGGGGTCAGTGGGAAGAATGTCCCTTACATTGGGGGTCAGTGGGAAGAATGTTCCTTACATTGGGGGTCAGTGGGAAGAATGTCCCTTACATTGGGGATCAGTGGGAAGAATGCCCCTTACATTGGGGGTCAGTGGGAAGAATGTCCCTTACATTGGTGGTCATTGGGAAGAATGCTCCTTACATTGGGGGTCAGTGGGAAGAATGTCCCTTACATTGGTGGTCAGAGGGAAGAATGTCCCTTACATTGGTGGTCAGAGGGAAGAATGTCCCTTACATTGGTGATCAGAGGGAAGAATGCTCCTTACATTGGTGGTCAGTGGGAAGAATGCTCCTTTCATTGGGGGTCAGAGGGAAGAATGTCCCTTACATTGGTGGTCAGTGGGAAGAATGTCCCTTACATTGGTGGTCAGTGAGAAGAATGCTCCTTACATTGGGGGTCAGTGGGAAGAATGTCCCTTACATTGAGGATCAGTGGAAAGAATGTCTCTTTATTTTGTGGTCACTGGGAAGGATTCTTTTTATATTTTTTTTGATTGGGAAGAATGCTCCTAATATTAGTAGCCACCGTTACAGAAAGCTAAAAAGATCTGCCAAGGAGTGTTGGAACTCAAATTATCCAGGCACCATCATATTTCAGGTCACTCAGGTACAGCTCATGGAACCCCTAATAACCTCTAGAGAAACCCCACATTTCCAGAAAACCCTGGTAGATAATGGCTGCTATAGCTGATCATCAAGTCTCTATAGCAGCTTGGTGCACAAACTTGCATTGTGACATGAAATCAAACATCTCGCTGCTTCAAACCTATGAGTGATGACTGTTCTACCCAATAGTTTCCAATTGCCATGTCTGCCGGTGTACTCACCGCCAATATCAGTCTCAATACTCTCTCAGTTGCAACCCCAGCTGCAGATGTTGTGAATCCTTGGAGGGTGATGGTGTAGTTGGTTCCATACTGGAGGGGGATTTTATATTCAGTCACATTGGGTGGAAACTGGAGAGATTCATCCACAGCAAAGGACACATTGTAA